AGTCGAATTTTTTTTTATAGTAAAATTGAGTATTTAAATAGATAAAAAAATTAAATTGGGAGAATTACGTGACCAACAATATTAAAATCTCAATCAAGGGATAATATCAAATTTTAAATAATTATATTATTAGAAAAAATACTTATCATATAATATCATGTTAACATTTAAGATTAGTCTGTCAGCTGGATATGATACGCATAGGTAGTAAATACCAAAAACATTAACTTTGTTACAAACAGTTATATGAATTGATTAAAATCATATTGATTTTTTGGTGTAATATTAATTAAATTTATATTAATATTAAAGACAGACTGCTCCTGTGAATTAGAAAGTAAGATGATAATTTACCGGAAAATAGACAGAATTGATTTATTTTAAATGTTTTTTATACCGTTAAGTTAATTTAAATAATTTAATTTTTAATAAATATTTTAATAAATTATGACCTTTCAAATTAATTAAAAAAATAAATTTTATTTTTAAAATAAAAATAACATGAAATATGAAAATTTAAGAAAATGTAACTAAAAGATGCAACAAAAATCATTGAAAAATGAGAAATTTATGTTATTTGATTAATTAAATAAGTGTTGGATGGAAGAAATGCAATCAATAATTAATCCACAACTATATATATAAACACATTATTCAAAAATTATAAATAATGGAATTCGTACAGTTTTGTTCAAAATTCAATTATATATCAATTTTGAAATATAAAATAGATATAATAGATACATGTCAAACCTAAAGTTAAACACCGTGCAAAATTATGGCAGGTGAAATAAGCTATATTTTATTTTTTTTTACCTAGTTAACATAAAAATATAATCCTCCAACCTATAATATAAATTATAATTAATTAATTCATGATTTATAAATAATGTTAGTTAAAATATTAAATTCTTAAAAATATTTACATATTTTTATTTATATTTTCATTAAATTTTTTATATAAACATCTTGATAATAATAATTAAAATTTTAGTGGATGACTCTTTTTCAAAGAATAATAAATAAAATTGAAATATAATTTAAAAATATATATATATATATATATATAAAAGTTATTTAATATTTAATATTTTTGAGTTAAATAAATTTTTTTAAAAATATCATTGAGACCGAATAGTTACAAATGTATAGCCCTTTACCAAGTTGCTACCGCAGAAGACAGGATGGTCCCACAACTGTAATTAGGTTGGGTGTGTTATGAATAAGTCAAAGGAACGAAAACAATAAAAATAGAAACACGTAACCTGCCTCCTCATTCATATTTGCTTCGGCCTGGATGATATTATTTGGTCATACTTTCGTCCTTGGTAAAATATTGTAATCAACGTAATATTACTTCTCAATAAATAAAGCTACGAATAAGACCATGCAAAATATGGGAGTCAATCCCAAGGAATATTCAATATTTAGCTCTATACAATAAGCATAGAGAGAAGTCATAAAATAAAACATCATCCTCATGAGTATTGACATGAGATTCCATTGATCTTAGGTAGCGTTTAAATTGATAGATATCAAGATATCATCAATTGGTTCGTTCTTTTCACCTAATGTTTAATGTTCCCATGCAAGGTTTAATGTAGTTCCTCTATGAGTTCTACATTGGAGGGGGGGGGTTATGTTTGCTGCTTTTGATTTTGTCCCTTCCACTTTTTTTGCCCTCAAAATTAGAAATCTTAGTTGAAGAGTCAATTTTGGGACAAAGAGTGAACATGCGACCTCAGTCCTAATGCACTCCAAAAGCAAGGCAGCAATCTTCCAAACTAATCCTCACCTCTAATTCCTCTGCTATCCACTTTCAAATCTCCAAACAAATTATATGATTCCCTTTCTCATCGTACCTACCTTTCCTGGGAGAATCTATTCCAACTGCCAACTATGCAGCAAATGGAAAATTGCAGACTAATCCTCGTACTTTATTCACGTTAATACATTTTCATTTCATTCTTCAACCCTTAGTTACGTCATTCTCTATTTTCCAAAAATTTTTCCCCTGTAAAAAATCACCAAACATTATATTGTAAAAGAATTTACCCCGGAATATAAACTTGAGAGAATGACAGTTAAGTTCTAAGAGCATCAATTAATTTAAATTAAATCTCAACTAATTTTAAAATGCTAACAAGGAATGGAAATTTGTTAATTATTCAACTCTATTAAAATTTTGAAAACAACTTATACATTCATTACAATAAAATTATAAAATTAAGAATTAAACTTACGAAGTTATAGAATTGTTAGATTTGATATTTTACCATTGAAACACCAAAAAACTTTATTGGTATTTTATAATTGGTTGAGACATAATTTAAATTAATTAATTACTTTAGAACCTAATTGTCATTTTCCCTCTTGGTTGGTAGCGTTACTACGTTAACAATACATATGTAAAATAGAGATAAGTCTTCCTAGATGACAAAAAAATTAAAATGTACATAAATATAGCTAAAATAAAAGGAGTATAAAAATCATTGGATGCTGATCTAATACAATGCACAAAGTTCACAACTCTTTTGCTATTTATGAATTAGTTCTTTTTACTATAAGATTATTATTGATGATTGTAACATCCCAATTTAAATTTTAATAGTTAATTTGGGTTAATAAAAAAAATAATATTTAGAGGTAAGAAAATTAGTAAGAGATGATTATTAAATCTAACTTAGGATATAATTCTAAAAAAAATTAATTAAATAAAAAAAATTTTAAAAAAATAATAATTAAAAAAATAATAAAAAAAATATATTATTAAATTATTATTATAATAAAAAAAAAGGAAAAGGTTTGCAAAAAAAAAAGGAAGAAAATGTGCCGCCGCCTCAATAATAACAATAGTAAAATAAAATAATAAAAAAAAGAAGAAGAAGAAAGAAGAGAGAGAAAAGAATAAAAAAAATGTGTGGGACCCACTGAATTTTTATAAAAACTCACCTGTTCCTTCATTTCTTCATTCCTTCTTTTCCTGCGCGCGAGCTGAGGCGGAGAGAAGCGAGTCGCCGGTGCAAAATATCTAAATTTTTAAGGTAAGAGTTTTTAATAGGATATTTAGAGTGTGATTTTAAACTTTTCAAGACTAAGTAAGTGTTCTAAAATTTTTTCTTAGTCATCCTTCTTCTTTGATTTCTGAGTTTGTAGTGGTAGAAAATTTAAGATCTGGAAGAGGAATGAATTTATGTTGAATAAATATGATTTTTTAGGTTGTTAGTAGTATAATAAATATTCTAGAGTATAAATTTATTGGTGATCTTTGAATTTGTGGCTTATGGATCAAATTCTAAACTAGATCTGAAAATATATGTTGATTTATTGAGGTTTAGATGATTATTTGGGATGAGAAATGAATTATTATGGTTATAGGATTATGATTCTAAGCTAGAGACTTAATTTTTAATTTTTGAGTATTTTAGGTACGAATTTATGAAATAAAAAGAAAATTTTGATAATAGAAATTAGTTTAGAAGTTGATTTTTAGATTATTAATGTTTATTGATAATTAAAAGAGGAGTTAAAAATTTTACTTAATAGTATTAACTATAGATTTGTATTAAGATTGAGATTAGAAATTATGTTATATTTTTAATTCTATTATTAGAATTATTTTATTAGTTTCAAAAATTGAAACTAATATTTATAAATAATATGTTATTTGTAGATTGTATTACTGGTGAAGATTGTGGTGAGAGAGAAATTTTAAGGAATAATTTATTGAAAAAGCCACAAGGTAACCATGCTTTTAATTTGTGATTAGTGTTACTTCATGTTAATTGGGTGATTATTGAGAAAATTATAAATTTTGTAATATTATATAATTGTGCAATATTATTATAAATTTATTTGATTATTGTGGGAGGTGTTGGGAGACTTGCTATTGTTGTTGTATTTATGTGCCACGTGGTATGTCCTTATTGGAGCTCAATAGGTGGTTTGTAAGGGCTCGGGCTAATCTACCTTTGGCCGGGTAATTTAGCACCGAGTGAGGGCTACGGCTCGAGGTTAATGGAGGGATATAAGGATGGTTGTTTGTGTTTATTATAATATTTCTTATATTTGTTGGAATTATATTATTTTTAATTCTCACTTAGTAAGCACACACTTAACTGTTTGTATACACTATAATAAATTGGCTTTGGTTACTGGGACTTTTGAGTCTCATTATGTGGTTAACAATTTTCAGGAGAAGAGCCACGAGTGACACGTGGAGGAGTCCCAGAGGCTTAGTGGTATAGATCCACTGTCTCTTTTGGGTATTTAATTTATGATTTATAATGTGTTATATTGTCAATATTAGGGCTTTTTGTTTATTGTCAATTATATGAATATATAAATGTAATCATGCCTTTCAAACTATTTCTATTTTTGGTACAATTTGGATGACTGTAATTTTAATATTTGGTTTACTTTGGATTGGTTAAAATGGCATGATTATAAGACCAAATAACTGGCTTGTATTGAAAATTGACTAAATTGCTTATTTTACTTGTTGGGAGTATAAGGATGGACAAATGTGATTTAGTTTACTTGTTGGGAGTATAAGGATGGACAAATGTGATTTAACCTAATGGCATGTGGGAGGTAAAAATTTATCTGAAATGTTATAGTGTGTGAGTTGAAGTCAATTATAAAATATTTTATATCAAAATTATTGATATAAAAATGTATTGGGTGGCTGTAACCCAACTATGGTTGAGTTAAATTATTTAAAAAAAAAATTGATGTGTTACACACAAACACACAGTAACTTCGAGAGTTTTGATATCATCTATTTTCTTAACCAAAAAAAGACTTTTTAAAAAGAAAGGGGCTTGCTCTCCCATAAAAATTGGCAAGAGTCGGGTAGGTGGCAACATGCGAGTCATGCGACTAAGATTCCATTTGTCCATGAGAGCATTTCCCATTAGAAGCATTTATCAACCCGAAGTTTGTTGAAAATTTGTCTTTTCCCTAACAATAATAGTAACAGTGACATGCAAGGTCATCAATGAAAAAAGCACCGTCCAATTCGATTCATTTAGCTGAAATGAAGAAAACGACACAAGAAAAATCAACAAACCCACTTCGCGGTCTGGTCCCCCCACCAAACACAAAGAAAAAGAAAAAAAAAGTATAGTACAACACATTAAACGACTTCTTAGCTGTGAGAAAAGCTAACGTGCCTCCGATGACCAGCCATGAAAAGCTATCAAAGTTGTGCCTCCAATGAATCACAGGGTCCACTCAACATCTCCATACAATAATCATCTGACTTTACATTCACAAACACCAAAGAGTAGGCAATCTCACATGGCCACCCACAGGTACAACCTTGGTATTTTCTTCTTTCTTCCCCAAATTCACGTGTGCTTGCTCAAATACCACTCTGGCTTTATTTTTAAGCCACACAATTGATGGCTGGGACCCCACATCGTTTCTTCTCTTCAACTTGCCATTTTACAGACATCCTTGCTTGATCTATTGTATTTCATGTGACTCCTTACAAGCTGGCCTGCGGCAATGGCAGACATCAGAGAAAGCTCTCCTGCCAAAACTGAACCAGCGACAATGGTGGCCAAGAGTCTAGAGTTCGATCCCGGTGACTCCTTGCTCGCACCCTTCACGCCCAGCAAATTCAAGCAAGCAGACTGAGATGCTAGCTGAGTACCACCTCCAACTGTACCGACCTGAATGGACAACAAATAGTATGGAGCTCTCAGCAATTATGTTAACCAAGTAATCACCTATAAACTAAATTTACAGGATGCTCAATCACCTCAATGGAAGGCATGGACACTGAGATATGAAGGTCTCTCCCATCATTGACGGCTTCCATCATGGTTATGCAATGAGAGCTCTCAATATTTTGAGCTGGATCTTGACCAGTGGCTATAAAAATAGCAGAAACAATATTGCTGGCATGAGCATTATATCCACCAAGAGCACCAGCAACAGCAGAACCAGCAAGGTTTTTAAGCATGTTAAGTTCCACTAAGGCAGCCACGTTGGTCTTCAAGACCTTCTTAACCACCTCTTCTTTAATAATTGCTTCACAAACAACTGACTTTCCGCGCCCCTCAATCCAATTTACAGCAGCAGGTTTCTTGTCCGAACAATAATTCCCTAAAGAACAAAGGAAATGGATAAACGTTATGTTTTAGGCTGATCTTTCCATTAGCATAATTTTTAGGACATGGTAAAGTCCTTAATTTCTTTATAAAATAACTCAAAGACAAGTATATATGATTTCCAAATAAAACGAAAGACACTACCAAAAGAAACAAAAGAAAAGAAAAGAAAAGAAAAACTAACTGCCAACCATAAATGCTATATGTACACAAAGGAGCGCCACAATATATACAAAGATGATTATGACTATAATAATGATGTGGCAGTATTGAGTTGCTGCATTCATATTCGCAGTCCAGCAACAAATGAATAAAATTTAGTTTCTCGCGAAAGAAGAAATAGAAATAGATCAACCGAAGCATTCTTTTATAAGAATTAAATTTATCAGAAAGTAATGGAGATAGTTCAGATTGAACATTAAGATAAAAGAAATCAAGCTCAAACCAAGTTCAACTACTAGACAATCAAAAAGTGAATAATAACTGTCCAGTCATACTCATAGATAACATAAGACACCTCATGAATAACTAATTGCTTGATTTTCAGCTAAGCTAGGACAGCTTGATGAGAAAAATAATAGGACAATATCATGGAAGGAACTGGACCACTGCTGGACCACTGCCACAACAGATACAAGGGAATTATTCAAGAGAGATAGTACATAAGAAATTTTATATTTGAATAAAGTTGTATCAATGACATCATGCATGTTTGCAAAAGATCAATCTGGAGGTTCCTAGCAAGTAGCATCAGAAGAAAGAAGGGGAAAGTTGTTTACCAGAGATGCCTATAACATCCATGTCCGGGAAATCATTTTGAAGGAAATCAAGAACATTCTGCACTCCTTTGGAAACCATGTTCATCCCCATGGCATCACCTGTGCAACAGCTGAATCTCATGTACAGGTTCTTTCCAGCAATAGAACAATGAATACTTTGAAGCCTAGCAAATCTACTTGACCTGCACCAACAAATGAATTTTTTTATTGTTTGTCCCAACGAAACCCAAATTCTTATTTTTCTATATCTCATTGTTCATCACTTCTGATGTTCAGACATTTAGAAAATCGTGAAACAAACATCATTAAAACTCACCAAACAGAACCCAAAGGAAGAAGAAAAAATCATCTCTACACAGGTAAATCTGTCAAAAGTCAAGCTCCCTAAGAAAGAAATGAAATGCATACGCATCGCAAAACTTTGTACACAGCAAAATTAGCACGTCAGAGTAAACTCCTAGATGCAATGGGACTATTGGATTTTGGAGTGACCTTTTGTTCCAGGCAAGGGACTTAAGCCCAAATTAAAAAAAGTTCGAACCAGTAATAATCCCAAAAGAAGTAAGTTAAGCCAAGCACGAATGTTTCGAAACGAACCTATTAAAAACGGCGGCCAGGGTATCAAAATTGAGAGGATCTTCAAGAAAGAACTTCAACTCCGACGCCCTTTTGGCTGTGGCGAACCTTACAACAGGCGCTCTGGTCATTCCATCCCTCAGCACTATGCTGGTAGCCCCGCCACAAGCATAAATGGCTTTACAACCTCTGTTCGTGCTCGCCACCAAGCACCCCTCAGTGGTTGCCATTGGTACAGTATACTCAAAGCCATCAAGCAACAAAGGCCCAGCTACTCCCACCGGAATTTGTACGTAACCCACCGGCATTTCACAGCACTGCCCCAGAATTGAATCGTAATCGAACCCATCCAACGGTAATCCCTGAAGAGATTTTCCATTCATTCTCTGCAAGGCCTCGCGTCGGATGGCCGCCGCGCGCCTACAGTCACCGAGCTTGGACTCGAGTGAGTACGATGGAATCGTACCGTCCAGCACGGCTTGTACGATCTTCTCATCTTCCTCGGAGGGCAGAGACGAAACCAAGGGATCGGAATCCACCACTAATCTAGGAACCGGTTGCTCAATTACGAAATCACGGCGGGGATGGTGGTTGTGAGGACGAGACTCGGCAGCATCGGCCTCGCCGGCATCATCATCGAGGTCCCAAACATCGTGAGAAGCACGCGCGATGAAGGACTGTACGAAGTCAATGCCAAAAAAGCCAAGAAGGTAAATAAAAGACGCGATGAGGGACACAATGGCGGCAATCTCTGACAAGGTAACGACGTGAAGAGGGGTAGAGTTCCGGATCTTGTCACGCCAGCGGTGAAGGAGATAGTACGCAACGGAGAAGAAGAGCGTGAAGAAAACAGCATTGGTAAGGTACAGCGGCAGAGGCAAAGCATCGGAAGCTTTAGGGGTCGGAGACGGGGCTCGACGGCCGCCGTTGGCGACGGTGGAGGAAGACTTCTTGAGGAGATCCCTCGAAGAAGCAGTGGCGCCTTCGTGAGAAGTGGCTGGAAATGGCGGGTTGTGGTGACGGCGGCGGGGAGGATGGGGATCCATGGCGGATTCGGTCGAAGAGGAAAAGAGTTATAAGCGAGAAGTGTGCGGGAAATACGTTGGAAGGACAGCGAAGAATTTGGAAAGAGGAAGGGGTGATGTTATAGAGGAAGGGTCTCGTGCCTACACGTGTGAGAACGTGGACCTCGTGCCTACACGTGTGGGGCCTTTACGCCAACTCTGGTCTGAAGGGTCATCTTTCACAGCTCATTCTTGGCTCGCGGCTCACGTGCCGACTGGCTCTCTTGTTTTCTGTTTGCGACAATGTTCCTTGGGAAGATTAGGTCAGAGGATTTCTATCTCTCTCCTTGCCACAGTGTAGGATGGTATTTACTATTTAGAAATATCATTTGGTCAAAAATATAGAATACTGAATAAGTTATGTATGTATTTTTATTATATTTTACTTAAATTATTTATGAGGATATTTTGCATAAATCAATATGTTCTATTTATTTTATTTAAAGATGTGAAATTATTTTTAAAAAATTAAAATTTTAATCGACTTTTTTAATGTAAGTTAATTAATAATAATTTATATGATAGTCTAGAGAGAATGGAAGTCACTAGAGATGCATTGGGTTGGTGGGTCTATATCTTATTCTTGATCTTGATGGTTCAATTCATCATGTATGGTTGATCTTTGACTCGTTGCTTCCATGAAGTTGCTAGGAATACACATATCAAGTTAATTATGTTAGGAGATTAATTTTGACTTTGGAATGTGGTTTAATTTTCTAGTGGCTTATGAGGCGTGTTCTAAATACCATCCCTTGATTAATGCTATGAGAAAAAATTAGAGATATGTTTTCTGGTCTCTACTATAAAATATTTCTAATCACTTCATTGAAAATCATGAAAATATAGTTAATTAAATCATTAATGTTGTCTAAAAATATAATAAATTTTTTATTTTATTTTTATTTAAATAAAAAAAATTTAAATTACATTACATTATTTTTCATAGCTATTAAATTTAAATAAAAATAATATTAAAAAATGTATTAATATTCTATCAAATGTTTTATGTTAATTATTAAATAATTTTTTTAAAAGGCGTCACATAATAAAAGTAAAAAAAAAAAAAGGAGAGTATGTGATATGAAAGTGAATGATTATGGTAGATCATGGAGTTGTCCCTCCTTTGTCTCTCTATTAAAGGACAATGGTGATATGAATTATTTAAATTTAATCTTGATGGTTTAAATTTAATATTTTAATATTTTGTATTTATTAAAAAATAAAAAGGTTTAATAAATGTGATTATCAATCTAGTCAATCCAAATTTAATATAAATAATTTAATTTTAATTTTTTTTATAAATTGGCTATCTAACTATTTTTAGAAAAGTGCAGGTTTAATATTAAATTTTTTATAATTTTTATAAATTTTTAATATTTAATTTAAAGTATTCCTATTAAATCTGGATTGTCCATACTCGTAATCATATTTGTTAAATATTTTTTTAATTTTTATAAATTAATTATTCAAATATATTTTGTATAGTGTAGATCTAATATTAAATTTTTTATAGTGCTTATAAATTTTTAATATTAAATTTAGATTATATATATTAAATGTGAATTGTCCAAACTGCCCATCAAATTTATTAAAATTTTCATATTTTTATTTTAATAAATATAAAATAAAAAATAAAAATTTTAAATCTAAAAAACTTAAATTGCCACTCTTCCTCAACGGAGGGGTAGTGGAGGTTTTCCTTAAAGGACAGAATCAAACTCCCTAAATGACTTAAAAAAAATACAACGAATATATTGATCAGCTAGGTTAAAATGTGTATGAAATTATTGTAATTTTTTTCAGTCAAAAGGAACTCCTTCTAATTAATGGATAAACTTTAGAAACAATACGAAGCAAGTGAAAACTACCAAACATAAGGAAGAACAACGAAATACAATGAAATCAAACAGTACCAATTACAATGCTAGAAATAGAGGGTATGAGATGAGGTATGCATTGCTTCTTCCACATCAGAGACCAGAATGGTAAGACAAAGAAAGCGTTGGTTCAAACACCCACCGTATCGGAGAGCTAATAGACAGTCTAAGATAATACTTCCGTATTTCCAATCATATAAATCGAGTTGCTTAAGCGAAATACAAGTGGGCGAGAGTTTACAATTAGTTTCAAAAATGATCTTACCATGACCAAGGTCCATGGCAAGCTTCAAGGCCATTCTCAAGGCAAGAGCTTCAGTCATAAAAGAATATAGGGACTTGATCTTGTCAACAAACCCCCATTGAAACAAACCTGTATGATTTCGACAAACAATACCTATGGCAGCAGAATCAGATTTTCCGGAAAACACAGCATCAAATAATACATATAGCACCCTGATTCGGGGAAATACAAGCATCTAGAAGAGGTTACATACGAATACTCTTAGAGACTATTTTATAAGAAAAGTTACATAAGCCAACAGGACGAAATTGAGAAACATGTTCAAGCCTGTCAATCTCGGGGCAGCAAAGTAATATTAGTTTCATTGATATCCTTAAGAGATAAATCACCCTCAAAGAAATCCAGAATCCAGGAGCAAGTATTCTCACCAAATTCATTCCAGGACAAGTGATAGAATTTACTTGAAAACCCGTTCGAACTCGGTGCTTTAGTACTACCCAAGTTGAACGCAGCTACCTTAATTTGCTCCCTTGTAACCAGCCGGTGCAAGTAATAGATTAATCATAGCCTCAGTAATTCTAACATCAACAAAATCAAGTGCTGCCTCCATAGATCTTGTACGCGATGAAGTGAAAAGATTTGAAAGAATGCAGCAATATCGTTTGAAACATTTGTCTTGTCAGTTAGCCAACTTCCTGCATCATCTTTAAGGCGAAGAATACTGCTGAATTGTCTCCGCTTAAGGGTTGACAAATGAAAAAATCTCGAATTCCGATCGCCCGGTTGCAACCAATTAATACGAGAGCTGCCACCAGTATTGCTTCTCTCTATCTAAGGTATTCTCAATCTCAAAAATCAGTTTATTAGCCTCCTGAATAGAGTAGAGTCATCAGCAATGTCACCTTGTTGGCAATTTGGGAGCTGTAGTTTTAATTTCTCCCCGAGCTTCTCGTTATTTGGAAATGTCTTATTACTCCACTGAATAAGATTATGCTTACAAACATCAAGTTTTGTCAGAAAACTGGAGATTGGAATTTTTACTTATAGGATCTACACTCAACCCTTTTTGAATCGTCTTATTATAGCTACTATGACAAGTTCAGATGGCTTCAAATTTGAAAGACTTGCACCTTCTTGGAGTCCCGCATCAACATTTAACCAGAAGTAAGTAATGGTCGGACCCCATTGGGTCAATATGAAACACCTGTAGATGTGGAAATTCCTTTCTGAGTTGCACATTACCTGAGGCTCTATCAATTCTCTCTCTAATTAGGCCACCATTCCTTGGATTATTGCACCAAGTAAATTTGTACTCGTTGAATCCCAGGTCCATCAGTGCACAGTCGTTTATGAAACTCAAAATATATACTTATGCCGTTTTAAATTATAAGACACTTTTAGACAAAATTTCACATACCAATGAACCTCATTAAATATACTTAATAATCTTATCTTTCTAAAATAAAAATATAAACTTTCAAAAATATCCATCATTTAATATATTGAAAAGAGAAGAGATGAAAATTAATTATAAAGAAAGAAAAGATAATATTAAAATTTATACATTTAATGAAACATTAATTTACCCAAAGTGTCTTATATTTTGAGATGAAAAAACTCCTTTAAAAGTATCTATAATTTGGGATGGAGGGAGTAGAATTTTCACAACTACAAAAATGAGATCCGATAGCATGCATGTTATGGCAATTTTAAATGGAACACCACTAAAATGAAAGCTAAAGTAAAATTATTATTTTATTTATAATTTAATTAAAATAACAAGAGGTGGCGTTTCTTTTATAAAATGCCATAATTTGTTGTTACTGAATAATTTTGTAGAATTTTAGAAATAAATGCCACCGAATAATTATGATAATATTTCAAAAAAAAATACCACCTAAGTGTTTTAATTATTTTTTATTTGATAGTTAATTAATTTATTTCATGATTTATTTTTTCAATAATTATTTCACAATAAATATTTTAGTTATGAATCATAGGTGGACAATTGTTTTCATTTATTTTATCTAATGATATTATTTTTTAGTAATTATTTTATAATTAATATCTAATGAGAGGGGTGACATTTTCAGGTTTTGAAAATGCCATCTCTCCCTTATAAATCAAATTATTTTTAAATAATATTATTTTTAATATATATATATATATTAAATATTGTTTTTCAAACATTGAATATTAAATAAAAATATTTAAATTAAAGAGGTGGCATTTTCAGGCAATGGAAATGCCACCTCTCTCTTATAAATTAAATTTTTTATTAATTAATATTATTTTTAAAATATATGATTTCCAAACAGTATTTATTAGATATTAAATATTAAAAAATTATTTAAATGTCTCTCTTATAAATTAAATTCTTTATTAATTAATTTTATTTTTAAAACATATGATTGTTAAATATTTTTATTAGATACTAAATATTAAAAAAAATCATTTAAATATCTCTCTTATAAATTAAAATTTTTATTAATTAATGTTTTTTAAAATATATTATTGTTAAATATTATTTATTAGATATTAAATATTAAAAAAGTTATTTAAACGAGAAAGGTGGCTCTCTCTTCAAAATTAATTTTTTTAATTAATTAGTTTAATTTTTAGAGATGTGGCCATCATTGTGATTTTTTAATTATTTTTAAAAATTAGAGATAGTTTTTAACTCTTCTTAAAATTTTTAAATCCTAATATCTTTTTATTGATGATTCTCTCCGTCCAACCGTTTGCACTTCTCTTTTGCAACCCACAAGTTATATTTTCTCTAATTATTGAAGTTGATCTTGTCATCTTCTCTTGCTGAGATTGCTTGTATAAGTACACAAATAACATGTTTTTTTTTTAAATTTTTCTTACCTCTTGTCTACCTATCCATATATATATATATATGGATTTTTATGATTTTTCTTTTATTTCTCTTCAGTTAA